AATACCCCTACCAAGCACACTGAGCTGATTCAACTTGGCTTTGGGACACCAAGGTGCTGGGTCAGAGGTTGTATCTCAATATATATGAATCCTACAAGGATGTGGTGGGAGAGGGGAGGTTTGAGATGTCTGCATGGAGCCAGAAGCCAGTTTACAGAAAGTATTACAGACATATCAAACAGGTAATCATTAATGTAGTTTTCTGGTTTTTGTAATATTTGAGGAATTTGTCATTGGTTGTGGTTTCTTATCTCTTTCTAACCAAATATTCACTTTATAACTGAACTTCATGTTTGTAATTTTGTATTTTTTTTCTTTTCTTTCTTTCTTTCTTCTTCTTTTTTTTTTTTTTTTGAATTAAAGTCTCTCTCAGTCGCCTAGGCCAGAGTGCAGTGGCACGCTCACACCCACTCCAGTGTTGACCTGCTGGGTTCAGGTAATCCTGCTTCAACCTTCCAAGTTGCTGGAACAACAGGCGTGTACTACCACGCCTGGCTAATTTTTAGATTTATTGTAGAGATGAGGTCTCACCAAGTTGCCCAGGCTGGTCTTGAACCCCTGGGCTCAGGCAATCCCCGCACCTCGGACTCTCAAAGTGCTGGGATTACAGTGTATTCCTTTTCTCAAAGGAGTCCCCTTAAGTTGTATAAATGTCAGAAAGTGCAAAGCCTGGATCTGCTCTGCTGGATTTTCTCTCATGTCTTACAGGATCATGGGACCCCCTATCTTTCCCCTCTGTCACTGCCAAACAGTTCTCCCATGTCTACAAGGGGAAGTAACAGAGTGGTTCAGAGAACTCACTCTGGATCCACATAGACCTTCATTTTCTCATACATAAAATGAGAATAATAATAGGTTTTCTCCTTAGATGGCCATGAAGTCATATGAGATAATGTGTGTGAATTCTTGGACACAATCTAGCAGAGGGCACAGTGAGTGCCAGATGTGATATTTTACTGGTCCTCACAGACACCAGATTCCCTGTCTATGTCAGTTGTTGGTTCTGATTTGGTTGGTGTCCATGCCAGAGTGCAGTCATTGTTAGCAACTGATATATGACTAATCCCCTCTCTGGCCTGCCCAAGGAATGCACACAGCTGGAATACATCAGCTGGAACAGTACACAGAAGCTGCCTCCAAATTGAGCAATGCAGACCCAAATAGTGACCATCAGTTATGAGACTGTCTCCCTTCGAAAGGCTTTAGAGTTCATTTATTCTCTCCCCTTAAAAATATTTTTTTGACATGTTCCAGCATTGGAAAATTGGAAAATCCACAGAAATACAAAGAAATGAACTGCTGTTATATAAATGATTATATATACACACACATATATAATACATATTTGTGCTATACATAGCGCTTTGGAACATATTGTACTTTAAAAAATTTGAGCCAGGCACACTTGTAATCCTAGAACTTTGGGAGGCTGAGACAGGAGGATTGTTTGAGGCCAGGAATTTGAGACTGCAGTGAGCTATGATCACACCACCACACTCCAGTCTGGACATCAGAGTGAGACCCTATCTCAAAATAAACCCAAAATAGCCTAATATTTCCTTAGTATTTCTCCGTATTTTTAATATCTTTTGGTTACATCACTTTTAATGGCTGCATAACATTCCTCATCCGAAAGTGGGGGTGATTAAAGGCAACATCTCAGAGGGTTATGTCATGAGCTGTGACAAGAGCTGTGTCATGTAAAACGCTTTATTTAGCTCTTCCACAGGGTGGATTTATCTGACCAATCCCTGCCTATAGGCATTGAGAGTTGTTCCCTTTATTTTGCTACCATGAGTAACTCTGGGCAATGTTAGTCCTTGCTCATATCTCGGTCATTTCCTTTGCAAAATTTGAAACTGCTGGGTGTGCACATTTTAAAGCGAACTCACCATGATGTAGTTAGGGGAACAGACGGGGAAAGGGCTTGCCCGGGCTCACATAGCGAGGGAGCTCAAAGTCAGGATTAGGAACGCCCCCGGGCCTTTGGTGGTCTTCAGCTGGGGACCTAGAGAAAGTCCTCCCTGGAAGCAGAAGGAAGGGAAAGAACTAGGCGCCCGGGAGGCAGCGGCCCGAAGAACGCAAG